ATTTCCCCCCTTCTATTTAAATTTAGTGTGTGTTTGGTTCGAAGGAATAGGAGAATGGTGATTCCTGACTCCCCCCAATGTGATTTCCATTCCGGTCTTTGAGGTTTTTTTTTTGACAAAAAACACCCTTCATTCCAACCCCAAATTGATGAAAGTTGTTGTATGAGGAACTCCTATTGTCCTTCAGCCTCCACTAGCCATTGCCGCCGTTGCCACCAATCACATCTCCGGCGAGGTAAGATCGTCGTTCTTCCCTTCCTCCTCTTTCTTCCAAATCAACTGCCCCTTTCCTGATTCTTCTTCCTCTTTTTTATTTACTGGCTGCAATACAATGGTTCGTTTTACGGATTTGCCCCTGCATTGATTCGAATTTGCCCTTGCTCTGATTCGTTTTACAAATCTACCCTATTTTGGTTCGTTTTACACCATATCTTAAAATATGTAACTTCAGTTATTCTAAGGTTTGTAATTTTCTAGTTCTAGATTTGTGTTTGGTATCATGAACAAGAACTTTGACTATTCAACTTTTTCTTCTCTTTTCCCCACTCACAACCAAAATCAACAGTAGGAGCACCAGCATACATTGCTCCAAAAGTTCTATCAAGGAAGGAATATGATGGCAAGGTATTTAACTTTTCCTTTAACAAGTGAAATACTATAAACAATTTCTTTTGGGATTAATGATCAAGGGAAAAGAAACAAAATGAGAAAGAAAAAGAGGAAGTTTGCCAAGATTTTGATATTTCTTTATGTTGGTGCATGGTACAGAGGATACTAATTCTAACCATTTAAATATGAACAATACTTGGGTGATGGTCCAAAAGTGCAATTACATTTCATCAAAACCATCTTATCCATTAGCATTTCAGTGATATTTTTGCAAACCAATTTAGAGAGACCTTTTCTTTTCTTTTTTTATTGGGGTGGGGGAGCATTTCAGATTGTATGATCATGTGTTCAATATTCACATAACCAAAAAATTTGTAACTTTATTTTTTTCAATAAAGACATGATATAAAAAGGCATTTCAGATTGTAGTCTGGATTTTAATATTTTTAAATGGTTTGGAAGACTGTAAAACAGGATTTTTGTAGCCAACCCCATATAGTTGGGATAGGGCTTATATGAAGATGGTGATAAAATGGCATGGAAGCTTGACACTTGGATATTATGGATTGTAGAAAGACGAAAGATGATTTTAGTAATCAAAGTGATGCATGTTATGGATTTTATATCATTGATCTAGGTTTTTTATCTATAACATTCATATTTTCTTTTGACATTTCTTCAATTGCAGATTGCAGATATTTGGTTCTATGGTGTGACACTTTATGTCATGTTGGTTGGAGAATATCCATTTGAGGATCATGATGATCCTAGAAATATCTAGAATACCATTAGTGTGAATTCTTTTATAGAACCATTGTAGACTTTGTAGTTATTACCCTTCAAATATGTATATTTGAACCCATAGTTGATTCTACTAGCAAATTGATCTTCTACAATATGCTTAGCATAGAATAATGGGGGTTCAGTACTTCATACCCGACCACATATGTGTTTCAGCAGATTGCAGATATCTCCTTACTCGAATTTTTGTTGCTAACCTATCCAAGGCATCTTTCTATCCATCTTTTTCAACATCATCATAATTTTGACATGTTATGGCTCATCATCAGTCTTATCCACTTTGAAGAGGATCACCATTCTGGAGATAAAAAAGCATCATTGATTTCTAAAGAACTTGCCAAAGAAGCTAGTTGAATATGAGAAAAATTATAAGGATCCAAACAAGGACTAACCAGCTCAAAGCAATGAAGAAATAAATCAGCTTTGATAACCAGTGCAATATTTGGTCGGGCTTCTTTGGGGATAGTTAGATTAGCCTTTGATAATCAACTCAGTAAAGGTGGGGAAAACACCAATAGGTCAAGGTAAATTCTTCACAATGTTTTCGTAGCTTGATTTAGGTGTTATTCCTAGCTAACCCAAAAATCCAAGATGACCAGCTTTGGTGTTCAACCTAAGGCTATGTTTGGTTTGATATAGAACATAAGAGAGAAATAGAAAGTTGTTGGGGAAAAGTATTTTATGATTCCCTTTTCTTCTATTTCCTATCAAACCAAAGACAATGTAAAGGTTCAGTTTAGTATGCTAGATTCCAGATGAGCCTAATAAATTTTGAGAAATCTGAAATTACTCAAATTCAAGTCCAACCAAAAAGAGGCAAAGAGCCGAAAGTGCCATCCAACAATATTCAAGATGAAGGATCTAGTTTAGGATATATGAACCAAGGAAGACAATGTTTTATGATTTCAGCCCCTCACCTGTAAAGTGAATATATTACACTTTGAACCATACATAATACAATAACTCCGATGGTTAAGACGTAAGAGTGCAAACTAGAGAAGACTCACTAAATGGAAAATGAGCTCGCTTCTTAGGTAGAGAAGCATTCTACTTTATAGTCATACAGTGTGTTTTGAATAAAGTTGGTTGCTTTTCTAGTAACAAAAAACCCTAATATGTTCTCTGAATTGAGCGCATCAAATCTCAATGATCTATAAGAGGTAATACCATCAAAGGTTGCCAATGTGTTTATGTACATAGATATATATGATGATTTCCACCAGTATGAGAGATTTTTATTTATTTATATAATTTTCTTTTCATTTTTTGTGGTGGATAATGCTTTTTTTGTGATTTTTGTTTGTTGTGTCTTTCTTTTCATTTTTCATATTTTCTCCATATATGCACTTGTTAGTAGGTTGCCATTGTGTTTATAGATTGAAAATATATAATAAGTGAGTTGTTTTTGAGGTTCTTTTAATTTTTGTTTGTTTATGTGTCTTTCTTTTCATTTTTCATATTTTCCCCATATATGCACTTGTTAGTAGGGGTGTCCACGGTTCGGTTAATCGAACCATGGCACTTTTTTGTAAACCGAACCGGTGGTATTGGTTTTTCCAAATCTCCAAACCAAAATCGAACCGGTACCACCGGTTAACCGGTCCGTCGGTTTTGGTTTTTGACCGGTTCGGTTTTTTATATTTATAATATATATTATACAAATATATGTATAATATTATATAATAAATAATAAATGATATATAAAATATATAATATATAATATATTTATAAATAGATCATTATAAATATAATATAAGTATATATTTATATATATAATGAATATATATTTATATATAATACATAGAAAATATGTGACATATATTAAAAATATATATATATATATATATATAATATACATAAAAATATATATATCGGTTGGTTCGGTTAACCGTCGGTTTTTTTGTAGGTTAACCGAAAACCAAACCGATCCTTCGGTTTTTCAAAAATCCCGAACCGAAACCAAACCGATCGGTTTGGTTAACCACATTTTGTGGTTTGGTTTTCTTGGTTTGGTTTGGTTTTTTATGGACACCCCTACTTGTTAGTAGGTTGCCTTGTGTTTATATATTGAAAATATATAATAAGTGAGTTGTTTTTGAGGTTCTTTTAATAGGGGCAGATTTGGAAATGTTGGCTCATTATGTTTCCAACTTCTAGCTGAACCAAACAACAGTTGGAATCCGATTCCGATTCCTGATTGAACCAAACAGGTGTTAGGAATAGGTGATTCCGATTCCGATTCCGATTCCGATTCCGATTCCGATTCCGATTTTTGGGGATTTTGATTCTAATTCCGATTTCCGTCTTGTTTGCAAACCAAACACACCCTTAGAAGTAAAAATTTGGGGTCCCAAACTTGCCTTCGGATTTGCTACCCATTACTTGTTCCCACAACTATGCCTATCGAACACTGCCGCTCATGTGTATTGGGAACATCTCCCTATGAATGAAAAGTGAGATATTTCCAACACGCAACCAATGTTTTTAACCCGCTTTTGATTCAGTCAATCAAATTATTTGAACTGTTACCTGGTCAAGATTTTGGGTCCGGTTCAGTCAAGACCCACTAGATGGTCAAAAACCATTGGCTTGGTTAAGAATCATTTGACTTGGCCACTTTGATTGTTGACCCATTCGACCTAGTGACTAGGTTGCGGGTTGCATATTCAATGGATACAAACTTTTGGAGGCCATAACTTTGCACTCCAATGTCCGAATAGGGTGTTTTTTTTTTATTTTGGGTAGCTTTTCACAATCTATGCGTCCCAAGGCACCATACCCTGCTATTTTCACGAAAAAACCCATTTTTTGGGCTCAAATTGCAATTTTTAATAATTTTATAAATAAAAAATAAAAACTAAATTTAAAAATATAAATTAAATTTAAAATAACACATATTATGTATCTAAAACATATTTATACATTATTTATTGCTAAAGTGTATATTTATGTGTGTGTATGCAATGATGTGGAACGATCTGAACCATTCGACTTGGCTAATCGAACCGATGATCCATGACCTAGAGGTAAAATAGTTCAACCTCCGAATAAGTTTTTAAAACATTGTACGCAAATGTTATATCATGTAGGTAGAGATGTGGTAACAAGTAGTGGGTACTAGATTCGAGTCTCCCAAACTTTAGGCACACACTAACCACTTAAAAATGAGATCGGCTTCAGTGCTCACAAGACAATACTATGACCATTCACATTGCGTTTTATAGCTGTATATTGGAAATATTTCCATACCTTGTTTTCATGGACTCCGGATCTCCTGCCCACGATAACCCTGTCCACATTTATCATAGTCACACATGAAGAACATCTCATCCTCTACATAATATTATGTGGGGGGAGATATTCCCAATTCACGGGAGGCGGTGTATTGTGGGTAGGCGTGGGCAGGATTGTCGTAGGCAGGAGATCCGACTCGTTTTCATGGGGACATATTACCAATGATAGATTGCAGGAGACTGTGTGAACAGTGTGAGGATGGTGGGTACCAAATCCGATTTCTCAAAATATGGAAATATCTCCATACGTTATATTCTGCTGTGCTCACTACTCATTTCAGCTGAAATGAGTGTGAGAGCCATTCGAACAGCTTTACAGCGTTGCATTGATAATATTTCCGTACTTGTGATTTATTTCATGGGCAGATTGATATTCTCAATGCACGGTTCCAAGAGGCTGCTTGGACTAGGAACTGCGGGTCCGCCGTCCACAGTTGTCTGAATTTTCGAGCTCAGTGAGAAGCATGGTAATAAGATCATGAGATCAGTCGTACCTAACCTGGGGATCCTTCTGTTCTACCTCGTAATTTGTATCTCTTACGTTCGCAAGACATTCTGAGCTTCTGACAACGATGAACAATACAGTTTTCTGTTCGGATATATCATCACCAGTTCACTGGACAAAAAGGATTTCCTTATGATATGTAAGGCGGGCCAATAGTTGAATTGCACTCTTTTTTTTTTTCCTAATTAGGGTAATTAATCGTTTATAAGAGCAAAAACCGGGAGAAGGCTTCATTTGACATGAGAAAGATACGTAGTGGCGTCTCTGCAATTCCCGGTAACAATTTGTCATTGAAGATGACGGGGAAGCGGAGCAGGACGATGAGCTTCTTTTTTGCTTTCTTCACCCTCCTAGTTTTTGGGGCTCTTTTCCCTGCCTTTGCTCCTCTCCCCGCTCTATCTTCCTCATTTTCATCTTCACCGTCTCTCCTCCAGGACTCTCACTCGGTATTCTCACCTCTCCCTCCCTCTCTCTCTCTCTCTCTCTCTCTCTCTCTCATTTATTCATTTAATGATCTATAGGACTTATTGACACTGCTTGTTTAATATCCAATTCCATTCAAATAAAATTGACATTTCCCACTTATTTTTTGCTTTTATTTTTTCATTACCACTTTAATTCTGATCTTGCTATATTGCTGCTTCTGGTGCTAGTACTACTACTACTACTGGTACAAGTCTATGATTGTGTAAGCTGAACTTAGAACATACAATGTAATTAGGTTGAATCTTTCATTCACTGGCTTGTGCTCAAAATTTTTAGATTAGAGGTCTTATTCTGTCATAACGGCTGTGGCTTTTTCAATGAATTGTTGTTTCGATGATTATAGGGATAACAATATTAATATGTTATTACTTATTAATGCCCTTTTCCTACTGGAACAAGCTTGCTCATGATTGCCATAATTATCGATGACAACACTGCTCAAACCCAAAGGTTATGTAACAACTGATGAATCTGATTTCTAGCCCATGACTGAAAATTGTTTAGGAGATCAGCAGGCACGATGCTAATGCCACATAATATCTATCCGGATATGTTTTTATCTTATTCTATAGAGGTTAGACAGCTTTCATTATATATCGACATTTGAAATGACGCTTTTCTGTTTATAAGAATTCATTAGATCAATCAATTTGTATGAATGTCAACAGGTTAAAGCTCGAAAGTTTGACATCTGTGATGACATGTTCTGGAAAGATGGTCAACCATTTCAGATTATTGGGGGTGACTTGCATTATTTCCGAGTTCTTCCTGAGGTATTTCCTGATCAGTTATAATTTTTATTAAAATTAAATAGGAATATAAGTAGAAAACATGCACTTAAGGTCATGCAAGAAGTGGCTCTGGACCCTCTATAAACAAGGTGTGTACAATGCTATGTGTAAAATAAGAGTAAACAGAGGAAGAAGAAGAATTTGTTATATTATTCGTCAATCTCGTATGTATATATACAAGTTACAAATTCTATGTTAGGAAAGAATATATTAGGAAAGAAGACTAATCAAATTCCTACAAATCAGTCCTACAATCAAGGTAAATCATATCTCCCTAGTATTTACCTCCTATTTTAATTATACAGTCTGTAACATCTTCCTATTTTAATTATACAGTCTGTAACACTATGTAACCCAATAGAGTGAACACACCTTTGTTCAAGTCTTGTTTTTAACAGATTTCATGCTGGAAGTTCCATAATACTTGGCAAGGAATTCTAAACCCAGAACAAGGAAGAAAGTTCATGTTTGAAGATAGCTCCCTAATTTTTCGATGAAGTGAGAAGGCCTGGCCCTTTTCTCTTAACCATAATTCCGGTTAGTTAAATTGTTTAGGTCATGATTAAATTTCCTCTCTGCCTGAAAGATGCCTCCAGATCTGACCAACCCACAATACTGATCAATTACCTTTTAAAAAAAGTGAAGCCTGGTTATATTTTCCTTCAAGGGAACTAATGAACATTCTTATCTGGGGGAGAGGGAAAAGGCATGGGCATTACTGCACTAGGATGATGATTTCGATCCTTCAAATGTCATATTGGAAAGTTGAAGTCCAGCCTCTTTTTTTGGTAATGAAGTTGAAAGTCCAGCCCGGAAACCACCAATTTGATCCTTAAGTGATGAAGAATTATAGAAAGTTTGTTCTCTTGTTTCTCTGTTAGATGTCCCACACACAAAATAAATAAAAGAAATCACCTCCACTACGACTTTCTAATGATGCAAAAATACTAAAGGACCTCAGAAATCTAGAGAACATTTTCCACAATAATCCTTATAGTGATGCTAAGAATACCAGTAACTTTGTCATGAAATAGCCTTTTGTTCCTTTCTTTCATAATCCACACCCTGAGCTGGCCAGAAAGGAAAAAAATGTGATAGAGGATTTTCACCATGATTTTCTGATGCACCAAAAAAATTATTCAGTGATTAAATTCACTGGTTTGGCCCAATTAAATTTCTTAAGTGACTCAAAACCCCACTACCAACTTCTTTGTGGATAAAAAGATGAATAACCAGTTACAGACCAATACTGCACATCGAATAAATAAAGTATTGTGCTCCTTTGTCCTTGCTTATTTTCTTTTAATAGGTAAGTATCTATTTATTGATGTAACTATCCACAAAAACTGTGACTTACCAAATGTTCCAAGCTAGAGAAGATAAAAGAAGGTTCTTTCTCTTGGACAGGACATTTTGCTGGAGTTGTTTTTGAGTCATTATTTGAGCCTTAAATATTAGTTTTTTTTTTTTTTTTTATGAATATTAGTCATTATTGGATGAACTTCTGCTTGCTGCCATTGTCTAGCATAGACCTTCAACCCATTGGCCCTATCTTTTAAGTGAACATCATATCAAAAGATGCTTCAAACCCAAGCTTTTGTAAATAAACAATTGTTTCATTCACAAACTGAAGATGGGAGATATCCCACTCCCTAATTCTTTGCATTTTGAACCATTCAATTTGTTGATGCTATAGCAACTTATTTTACCAAATTGCCTTCTTTTCTCCTCGGTAAGTTTATTTGCATTTTGATTCTTTAATGTGTGCAGTACTGGAAAGACAGGCTTTTGAGAGCCAAGGCATTGGGCTTGAATACCATTCAAACTTATGTACCATGGAATTTACATGAACCAAGTCCTGGAGAATATGTATTTGAGGGCATTGCAGATGTAGAATCATTTCTGAAGCTGTGTCAGGAGTTAGGTTTCCTTGTTATGCTTCGCTCTGGGCCTTACATTTGTGCAGGTGCGCACCAACCACCTCATAGAAGAAACTATTTCTTTGCTTAAATGCTTTATTAAGATCAACCAAATTTGCATGATCAATTTTTCACCCTTAACTATTATTATCCAATAAGTAATAGTATATGGATGTGTTGTCATCTGCAAGCCAATTGTTATTCACACATATTGTGTTTAGGAAATTTAACTTTTAGTGCTTCATCTTCTGCATAATTAGGATAGTTGTTTCTTTCTAATTCTATCTAATCATTTTTAAAGAAAACTGTAGGATGTCACTTTGTGGTGGAATACGGGCATCATTTATGGGATTTAGTGACTTCTTAATTCTTATCATCTTTTGCCTATCGAAAGTGTATTCTTCTGATATAAGATCTGCCGAGTGCAATATGAAAAGCTTGACCACAATTTATGTTTTTATATATTATCATACAGAGGGGATTTAATGGTCCTTTTAAGATTTGATCTTATATTCATTGGTATGCCAAAAGAATGTTCTTCTTATCAACACTTTAAACGGCAGTGGCATGTGGCAAAGTGCAGGACCTTCAGATGCATGTCGGTGCAATATATATTTCATTTTTAACTAACCATTGAATGCCTGTTGGAAATCTCTTAATGTAACCTAAAGCCTCAGTAGGGTTTCAAAATCTCAGTACATTGTGCATATTTGATGAATTGTTTCCCCTCAAACAACTCTTAGGAAAGTTATTGGGGGTTGGGACTGAGACAAATCAATTGTGGCTGAAATTTGCAAAGAATTCCGTGAACTTACTCTAATTTTTTTAGCTTTAGTACATTATGTATACAGTATAAGAGCTAACACCTTGCATACTTTTTTGGGCCTCTTTAGCTCCTCATAGTTTTTTTTACATGGTCTATTGCATACAGATAATGAATACACATACAACTCAAGCTCTGAGACATGTGTCTTATGTTTCCATGAACAAGGCTTGAGATGGAGCCTCAGAGCTTTTCCTTTAAACTTTTTGCTTCAAGATGAGCTTTAAGGGTTAACCAACATACACCTTTTGAAACCCTGGTTTTGTTACAGGGTCTGCAGGCATATTATAAGAATTTTGTCTATGAGTTGTGACATTGATCAAATCAAATACAATTTTTTCTTAGCTATAGTCTACAGTTGGATGATTGTTTTCCCCATTCTGTTGCATTCATAGAAACTAAATGGAAATTTAATAACAAAGGCTTTGTCACATGATCAAGTATATGATTTCTGCTACATGCACATATCCTTTTTTATGCTGATTTCCACTAAATTTATTGTACATCTTTTGGACTCTTGATTGCAGAGTGGGACTTGGGAGGTTTTCCTGCTTGGTTACTTTCTATTGAACCAGCTGTCAAACTAAGATCATCAGATCCAACCTTCCTTAAATTGGTATGTTTTTGTTTTAGTTTGTTTCCCATGTTGTTTTTATTTCTGATTCTTAAGAAGTTGTCAATATTCTTACCCAAAAGAAGTTGTTAATATTCTGGATTAAATGTAATGTAGAAAATAAAGATGTACCTTGAGGATTCTCTTTTTGGATTTTCAAGGCAATTGGATGTCTGTTCTCACCCTTTTAACCACTAAACCTAAGTGCCACTACCCTAAACATAAACAAAGAAAAAGGGTCCGTTTTGCTTGGCTAATTAAAGAAAGCATGGGAACCTAGTCTTTTGAAAGATCACCTACCAGAAAAATTGGTATATCTTATATTAACTGCCTTGGTGATTTATATGTTAGAGTTGGAAAGAAGCAGAAGAGCAATTCTCCTGAAGATAAGAACCTAAAAGAAGCTTCATCTTCCTCTTTGTAATTTATTTTGTTTAGACAATGAGAAAAAGGCAGATTGAGAATTGTCTTGCTTATTTGGGTTAGGGTGCAATGGAATCGAGTTTTAATTGAACAGTTGGGCTTGAGTTTGATTAGGCTTGATTCAAGTTCGATAATAAACAAGTTCAAATTGAGTTCAGCCAATAAAAAGTTTGGCTCGAAGGCTCGTGAGCCTAGCTAGATTAATATATTATATAATATAATATTTTATTTTTACCTATCAAATATATATATATATATACAGAATATAAAAATAAATTTTATAATATATTATAATTATAGAATATATTTTTATATTATATATAATAAAAGTATATTATATATTTATAACATATAAAAATATATTAATTCTTTGAGCTTTTGAATTGAACTCATTAAATATTTAGTTTAGTTGAGCTAGAACTGGAAAATAGAGTTTGAATCAAACTTGGACTTAAAATTGAACAAAGTTGAGCCAAGCCAAGACATGCCAAAGTTTGGCTCGGCTCGGTTCGAATACGCCCCTGTTTTGGGGTTTTATTTAGGATAATCATTTTTCCCTGTTTATAGAAAATCTCTATCCCGCTTTCTCTCCCTTGCTTCGTAATAGTTACTTTCCCCGTGTTTTATTATCAGCTTTCTCTTTCTAGAACTTCAAGAATGCCTTTCTTGTTTTTGATATGCATTTTGAACTCTCATCTAGATAAGGTGTCCTGTTTCTTGAGCTTTTTGAAGGCTTCTTTTACAAGGATTAAACAAATGTCTCCATCTATTCAGAATCCTAGAAAGTTTCATTATCCTTCTATGTAGAGTGGACAGGTAGGTTTAGAAGCTTGTCTCTGTAGGGAGTTTTTTTGATTTGTTTCTTCTATAGATTTTTTTTGATCAATAACAGAAATTGTATTCAATAAAAGCATTAAATAAGATGGAATGGTACATAGCAGAGAAGGGAGAGGCAAACTCTCTTATCTCTCCCAAATGATGAACAAGTTACAAACAAGCTCAAAATAATTGATTTCTTCCCACCCCTTGTTTTTCCAAAGAATCAGCAGAAGAATTAGCATCTCTTTTCACCCAATGTAAAGTGATCTCCATCCCTTGGAGCAGCCTTCTAATCCTTTTCCTCTCATTAATATATTCCCACCATCCCTCATCCTCTTCCTTTTGCAGCCATCTAATCACGAACTTTGAATCACCCTCAATTGAAAGCTTGTGAATATACAAGTCCTTTGCTTTCTGTATTCCTTCCATGACAGCAAGTATTTCATCTCTTAGAGCATCACCCACCCCTATTGGATCGGAGAAAAGTGCAACAATTTTTCCGTCAGTTTTGAACATACCTCCAATACCAGATGGTCCTTGGTTGCCTTTACTGCTACTATCAAAATTCAACTTAATGAAACCTCTTAAACATGGGGACCATTGAAGTCTATAGGTCACCTTAAGAGGAGCAGAATCGACAATTTCCATCCACTTTCTCATCAACTCACCTGCTGGAATGTCCTCAAACAGCTTCAAGGTCTTCACCCAATGAACCACTCTGATGGATATGACTTCTATCATCGCCTCCCTACTCCTTTCTTTTTCCATGAATATTCTTCGATTCCTTCCCAAAGTGTCCAACAAACTGCTGCTCTTGTGCATCGCCATAAAATTCTACCTCTCTCTTCGGCCATCTAACAAAGGTAGAGGAGAATAGATTTTGAATAGTAGGAGGGGAGTTCCATCTGGACCCAAACAAAGAGAGAAACCATTCCCAAATTGAAGAAGAAAAAGGGCAGGAGATTGGTAGTAGGACTCACCGTTAGCCTTACATAGAGAGGGCACTAGGAGGGTGAAAGACACCAGCTAGGTCTTTTTCTTTGTAGCAAGTCACTTGTGTTAATTCTTTCCAGATACACTTCCTAGTAAAAACCACCAATCCTTGGTGGAATGGCTGTGATCCATAACTCTTTAACAAGAAAGGGCTCTCCCAAACTATCCCTCGGTTGTATCAAATTCAAGAAGGAAGCATAGGTGAAGGAACCATTGGGAGAAGGGGCCCAAATTCTGCAGTCACTTTTTGAATGATCCAACACTACTTTTTTTCAAGAATTTGAAGCAAGATTGAGACACTTCAAATTTCATTCTCCCGGAGGCCTCTTCTAAAACCCAAATCCCAACCAAATCCAACGGTAGAGTTAGAGGGAACCAAAAGAAATGAAATGGGCTCCCCCCTCCAGGAAGAAAGGGCAAAAAGGGAAGGAAACTGTTCCTTTAAATAGTTGGAAGGACCTCCCTCACTTTCAAAGAAAGCACCTTAGCAATGATCTTGTACAAACTATTAATCAAGTTGATTGGTCTAAACTCTTTCGGGTGCACAACATCATTCTTTTTTGGTATCAACACAATGAATGTAGAATTAAGCCCCGGATTGATCACTCTCCTCTCAAAAAATTCAAGGAACACCTTCTGAGTATCAACTTTAAAAATCTCCCAACAATCCTAGTAAAAAGCCATCTTAAACCATCCGGACTAGGAGCTTTAGATCCATCCTTAGAGAATATTGCTTCCTTTATTTTCCTCCAGATCAAAACTTCTTTCCAGCCAGTTTTTATGCTCCTCAAAGAGGGTAGGCCACTATAGACCATCAAGCCAGATCCTCCCTTCTAATGGCTTTCTAAATTTTGATTTGAAATGGTCCACAAAAGCTTTGTCAATATCAGATTGTTGAGTGGTTATGTTACCATTCACCTCCAATTTTGATATAAAGTTTTTCCTTCTTCCATTTGTCAATGCATGAAAGAATTTAGTGTTCATATCCCCCTCTTGTGGCCATTTGTTCCTAAATTTCTGCCTCCAACCAATCTCTCCCTTGAACAATATATCCTCTAGTTCTTCCTCAATGCCCACGTCTCAACCTTGTCTCCTTTCCCAAAAGAGCCCCTACCTTCTTTTTCGTCCAAGTCCTCAATTTTGTTGATTAATTCTTGCTTTTTTTTTCCACTCTTCCAAAGTGTTGGATATTCCACTCTTTAATCTTGGTTTTTAGTATCTTCAACTTCTAGTGGAATTTCTTGCCTTCCCAATTTACCCTTGGGTTACTTCCCTCCCACCATTCATTGACCTTCAAAATAAATCCAGTAGAAGTTAACCACATTCTCAAACCTGAAAGGAGTTGGACCTATACCCCCACATTAGCCTTACATATGGAAAATGGCTAGCGGTCCAATGTTACTCTTGGAAGAGCTCTAGACATTAAGCTTCCCCAATGTTCCTCCCAATCCATTATGAATCAAAATCTCCAATTTAGAACAAATTGGGTTGGCTTGCATATTGGACCAAGTGAAATTACCATGAGAAAGGGCCAGTTCCTTAAGTTCAAAAGTATTAATAAACTGATTGAACTTCCTCATACTTTGATTAAACCTTTGCCTAGGGTTGTTTGTCTCATTCGTGAATCTAATGACATTGGAATCACCTCCTAGACACCAAGGTCCATCCCATAAACCCCTTATATTCTCTAGTTCCTCCCAAAGATCATTTCTTTCTCTATATCCATTAGGACTGTAAACATTAGCCATCACCCATTCGAAACCATCTGTCGCCTGCCTGAATTTGATTGAGATAGTAAATTACCCACTAATTCCTCCACTCCAATTAGGGTCTCACTATTCCAAATTGTCACTACACCACCAGAGGCCCCCCACGAAGGTAAAACTACCCAGTTTAATCCCTTCGCTCTCCAAATGCTTCTGATCCATCTTTTATCAACTTCAACAGCCTTAGATTCTTGGATTAACACAATATTTGGCTTCTCTATCTTCTAGACACTTCCTTGATCATGGTTTTTTCCTTACCCTTCCCAAACCTCCAACATTTAGGAATGGCAATGGGGCGGGGCGGAGCCGGGTTTTGCCTGTCCCGTACCCGACCCCGAATTGAAATTCCCTGCCCTATCCCCACCCCGAACCCTAGTGGGGCTAAAAATCTTAACCCCATCCCCGTCCCCATGTGGCATGGGGATCCTCGACTTTGCCTCGTCCCGCCCTGACCATTCTTACTTGTATACTTATAAATTTATTTATTTTTATTTTTTTGAAACCTACCTAGAATTATTTTATATTATGTAATATAAAATAGTATAATATAATATGATATAATATACATTAGCATATATTAACAATTTTATATGTATTATGTTATATAATATAGTCGGGTGGGGTGCACAAATACCACCCCCGCCCCATCCTCAACCCCCAAAGTTTCAGATTTTCCCCAACCAATGGTCAAAAAACCTGCCCTGACCGGGGCAGGGCAGGGCGGGGCCCATGGGAATGGGTCAAGTTGCCATCTTTACTAACATTCCAGTTAATTATCTTCATTTTTCCGGTCACACTTTTCCCTTCTTTCTATTCCTTCTATTTGTTCCCTCTAACCCTCCCCCTTCTCTCACTGAATTCCTTATCTTCCTTTACATCCCTTCTTAGCCTTTCCACTGCACTCAACTTCCTCTTCTTGATCTTTCCTTCCTCCTTATTCTTCCTTGGGTAAATTTTGAGATCATCTGGATTTTGCAGCTTGCACCCCAGTTTTTTCACAAA